TTAGAGCAAAACTTGGCTACTAAATTGCTGATGGGGTGTGAATGAGTATTCCGCAATTGGTAACGCCCGACTGCAACGTTCTTACTTGTCTGTATTTATTTGCGTATATCGCATTCATATTGATACTAAAACAACTTTGGCAAATCTGTCTATGTTTGGACACCGGGAATCTCTAGCGTGCTCAGAATATATAATTGTAAACCATTTACACTTGGCTAATGGGCTTATCGAATTTCGAATGAATTTATGTATATTACTGTTAATTTAGCTGGAATTTCAGTGACTGAATTTATAAATTCAATTATCAATAGCAATGACAGAAATCACATTTACAGTTTTAAATTGTATATATGTATTTGGTTTTTATGCGTTAGAAGGGATTTCGCATTGGAACTCAATCCACTTAAATCCGATTATTTGAATATATATGCACTATATGTGCAAAAACTGAATCGTAAGTTATATTCATTTTTTAGCGTTTGATATTGATTGATAAATAAGATATCGTTTACTACCAAAAAGGAAATCATTAATATTTAAATATTACCGAGTCCATTCAAAAGGATTTTTGATCGTTTATTGTTTTTGTGAATGTCTATGTAAGAGTAAAAAGAGAATGTACGTAATAAAACTTCTTCACAGAGTTCGGGGTAACCTCTAAAATGGAAACTTAATCAAGTTTAAGCAAGCTCATACAATCGACTCAATCAAAGAATCAGACTGTTCTCATGGTCAACAGTTTTCGTTCCGCATAGTTGAAGTCAGCTCCCAATGACATCCACTTGCTGGATAAAAGTAATTCACAGACTATTGAAAGCGGCTGTTGTTTAATTAACGCCCAGCCCAGTTACTGTCATATCCCACCGTTAATTCACTTTATGCGAGTGTAACTGTTATATGCATGCTAAGCTGCTTTACTCTTCGCAGATACATGGTGGTGGCCAAGGCGTCCATCTACTATTTGGTGCCACTCTCCATCATCGGGGTGCTCTACATTATGATGGCCAAACGACTCCACATCAGCGCCCGCGACATGCCCGGCGAGCAGCTGAGCATCCAGAGCCGCAGTCAGGCGCGCGCTCGCCGCCATGTTGCCCGCATGGTGGTGGCCTTTGTGGTCGGTGAGTATCAATTGGTCGATTGGGCCTAAGAAACGGTTCTCTAATTGCCCAGGCAGTGTTCTTCATTTGCTTCTTTCCATATCACGTATTCGAGCTGTGGTACCACTTCTACCCGACGGCGGAGGACGACTTCGACGACTTCTGGAACGTGGTGCGCATCGTGGGATTCTGCACCAGGTAAGCTACTGTAACTGCGGCACTTTTATCTTCGGTTTTTTTTTTTTTTTTTTTTTTTTTTT